CCATGTCTCTACCCAAATACTTTGTTATTAATCATATCCACTTAGTTATGTAGCTATCTATCTAGCTCAAAAACTACTTTTGATTCGACTTTTGCGAAATTCGACCTGCAGCTGAAAAGTGTAATTACTTCGAATACTGCTTTTGTACTTAACGCTTGCGATTTTCGAGCTGCAGCTGGAAAAGTGCTAATTTTTGTACGTAATTTTCCGATATTGGAGCTGCAGCTGGAAGAGTGGAGTCGTACCTTCGATCACGAAATACTGCGCCTGCCACGAAATCTGTACATGACCTTGCGAGAGTATTGCGCCTGCCACGAAATCTGTACCTAGCCTTGCGAAAAGGCTGCTCCTGCCACCAAATCTGTGCCTGACCTTGCGAAAGTGCTGCGCCTGTCCTTGACCTTGCGAAAGTATCGCGCCTGCCACGAAAACTGTGCCCATCCTTGCGAAAGTGCTGCGCCTGCCACGAAACCTGTACCTGACCTTGCGAGAGTGTTGTGCCTGCCACGAAATCTGTGCTTGACCTTGCGAAAGTATCTCGCGCCTGCCACGAAATCTTTGCCCAGCCTTGCGAAACTTTTTATACTTTTTGACGATTTTGGAGCTGCAGCTGGAAGAGTGGAATCGTACCTTCGATCACGAAAAACTGCGCCTGCCACGAAATCTGCACTTGACCTCGCGCCTGCCACGAAATCTGTGCCCAGCCTTGCGAAAGTGCTGCGCGTGCCACGAAATATGTACCTGGCCTTGCGAAAGTGCTGCACCTGCCACGAAATCTGTGCTTGACCTTGCGAAAGTATCGTGCCTGCCACGAAATCTTTGCCCAGCTTTGCGAAAGTTCAAGCTGCAGCTGGAAAAGTGTGCTTGAAATTGTGCTTAAATTTTGCGATTTTGGAACTGCAGCTGGAAGAGTGTAATCGCACCTTCGATGACGAAATACTGCGCCTGCCACGAAATCTGCACTTGACCTTGCGAAAGTATCGCGCCTGCCACAAAATCTGTACCTGACGTTGCGAAAGTGCTGCGCCTGCCACGAAACCTGTACTCGACCATGCGAAAGTGCTGCGCCTGCCACGAAATCTGCACGCGCCGCCTTGCGCGCCAGTGCCAGTGGGATTTGCGATGCGTCCGTGCCAGCGCTGCGGAAATGGCCCGCTTGCCACGAAATCTACACCTCGGCTCGCCAAAGTGCTGCACCTGCCACGAAATTCTAACCTTGCGAAGCCTCCGCGTTGCCGCGCCAATGGGCCCCCGTCCGAGACCGTTCCGAGACCGTCCCGAACAGGCGCTGCGGCAGAGGTACCTTTTGCGCATCTGCAGCAGCGATTTCCTGCGCCCTGCCACGCTTTTGCGCATTCTCTATCTTTTCGCGCGCTCAGACAAGGTTCTTTCTAATCATCAGCTATCCTTCACTTGGTTTCCGTACCACGGAAGTTTCTTCTAAACTTCCTTTGATACTGCGTATCTCAGATTACAAACATACAAAAATATACAGCCGCTCAAGGAAAATATGAATACATCGACTACCTATGTTAAAACCATAGAAAAAGCAAGCGCAACGGTGACTGAGAGCTACAAAACCATAAAGACAGAACATGTAAATATATGAATACTGTATATGTATGCATTACAAAACGCCACAATATCATAGCAGCTACAAGCAACAACTAAAATACACAGCAACTGCAGCGGTGATTACCGGCAACTCACTCGCTGTCAAGCTTTGCTTCAAGCCGACACATGGGAAGCCCGCCAGAAACTGGAAATTCGTACGCAGGTGGGAAGCGCTGCGCGCGGGGATAATGCAGCGGCCGCAAGAAACCCTAAAGTGCCAATGTCTATAACGGCGTCCTTCTAGCGCACGTGAGTCGCAAACCGGACAAAGAAGGTTGGCTGAGCAGACTATCAAGCAGCAGAGCAACATTATGAGTCGCTACTGCCGACTCATCAAACAGTCTTCGAAAAAAACATATTTGCGAAAACCAGGGACTGGGCCGAAACGAACCTTTCTTGTGCTGCCTGAAGCAAAGCGTGCGCTTTGCTGCGCCAACTGGGGCCCTACTCAAGCATCAACTGCTGCTCAAAACTTTGGGAAACTGCAGCAAGAGCACAGCGGCGATATCTCCAGACACTGCAAGCTCCTGTAGCACAGCTGCCGTCATGGCCAAAACGAAGACAGCATCTCGAGATTAGCGCCGACAGACTCCCTGCGCGGCTGCTGCGAAGATCGCGTCTACATGCTGCGCTGACACCTTCAGTGCGATATCCCTGGCCACAGTGCTAGAGGTTCCAAAAAACATGAAGTAAACGCAAACCGGCTACAAGTGCATGTCTGCCAGCTAGCATCAAGTCCGGATCTCGTGGCCTTTCTGGCAAGCATCAGCTTGTAATCCCCCACCCCAGATTTTTTGTTTAACAGAAATGCTGCAGGCTAGCCTTTCGTGCCCCGCCAGCCTTTCGCTCTCTAACACTATTCACGTGAAAAGGTTCAAGCGGGCTAGATTGCGCTCCACGCTGTCAAGCACCAGTCCCACAAAACTGACGCCCGCCAGACACTGGAAAGCCTAGGCGGGTGGAAAGCCATCTCACCTGCCCCAAGATGGAAACAGAGATATTGCAGGCCAGTCTTTCACGCTTCGCCATGCCGACACTGGGAAGCCCAACTCGCCGTTGATGCTCTAGAGCTGAAGCTTATCAGTGGGCTCTTTGAGCAGTCGTACTAGATGACTTTGTGGAGCTCGAGACGCGTGCCTCTCACGCCCCACAAAAGCGACACCGGGCCCACCAAAGCCTGGAAAGTTGTAGGCGCGTCGCTGGCCAGCAGCTGGCTGGACGCGTCCCGTGGCACCAGAAACGATGGTGTTGACGAGAACCGGAGTCAAAGGCATGAAAGCTTATCAGTGGGCTAGGCCGCACTCTTTGAGCAAAGGGCCGCCGCGCTGTTCAACAACTCGAAACGTCGGAAAGTCAACAAGGCAAAAAGTCAAACCGCAGCGGAGGGGGGGACTACCCGAACAGTCAACAAACAAACACGAAAAGTCAAAAAATGTGAAAGAGGAAAAGTCGAAAAGTTTTTGACTTTTTGACTTTTTGCGAAAAGTTTTGCGTCTTCTCGCTTTGTGCAATGTCCGGCGAGGGGAGCCGATAGCGCAGGCACGCACGCGCGCGGCGCGCACGCACGCACGCACGCACGGCACGGCACGGCACGGCACGGCACGGCACGGCACGGCACGGCACGGCACGGCACGGCACGGCACGGCACGGCACGGCACGGCACGGCACGGCACGGCACGGCACACGGCACGGCACGGCACGGCACGGCACGGCACGGCCCGGCACGGCACGGCACGGCGGCACGGCACGGCACGGCACGGCACGGCACGGCACGGCACGGCGCGGCGCGGCGCGGGCGGCGGCGCGGCGCGGCGCGGCGCGGCCGCGGCGCGGCGCGGCGCGGCACGCGGCGCGGCGCGGCGCGGCGCGGCGCGGCGCGGCGCGGCGCGGCGCGGCGCGGCGCGGCGCGGCACGGCGCGGCGCGGCGCGGCGCGGCGCGGCGCGGCGCGGCGCGGCACGGCACGGCACGGCACGGCACGGCACGGCACGGCACGGCACGGCACGGCACGCACCGCACCGCACCGCACGCCGCGCGCGCCGCGCCGCGCCGCGCGCGCCGCCGCGCCGCGCCGCGCCGGCCGCCGCGCCGCGCCGCGCCGCGCCGCGCCGCGCCGCGCCGCCCGCCCCGCACCGCACCGCACGGCACGGCACGGCACGGCACGCGCCGCGCCGCGCCGCGCCGCGCCGCGCCGCGCCGCCCGCCGCGCCCGCGCACCGCACCGCACCGCACGGCACCGCACGGCACCGCACGGCACCGCACGGCACCGCACGGCACCGCACGGCACCGCACGGCACCGCACGGCACCGCACGGCACCGCACGGCACGCACGCACGCACGCAACGCACGCAACGCACGCAACGCACGCAACGCACGCAACGCACGCAACGCACGCAACGCACGCAACGCACGCCACGCCACGCCACGCCACGCCACGCCACGCCACGCCACGCCACGCCACGCCACGCCACGCCACGCCACGCCACGCCACGCCACGCCACGCCACGCCACGCCACGCCACGCCACGCCACGCCACGCCACGCCACGCCACGCCACGCCACGCCACGCCACGCCACGCCACGCCACGCCACGCCACGCCACGCCACGCCACGGCCACGCCACGCCACGCCACGCCACGCCACGCCACGCCACGCCACGCCACGCCCGCCACGCCACGCCACGCCACGCCACGCGCCCACGCCCACGCCGCGCCGCGCCGCGCCGCGCCGCGCGCGCCGCGCCGCGCCGCGCCGCGCCGCGGCCGCGCCGCGCCGCGCCGACGGCGCGCCGCCCGCGCCGGCCCGCGCGCGCCGCGCCGCCCCCCGCGCCGCGCGCCGCCCCGCGCCGCGCGCCGCCCCGCGCCGCGCGCGCGCCGCGCCGCGCCCCGGCCGCGGCCGCGCGCCGCGCCCGCGCCCCCGCCCGCCCCCCCCCCCCACGCCCACGCCCCGCCCCGCCCCGCCCCCGCCGCGCCACGCCACGCCACGCCACGCCACGCCACGCCACGCCACGCCACGCCACGCCACGCCACGCCACGCCACGCCACGCCACGCCACGCCACGCCACGCCACGCCACGCCACGCCACGCCACGCCACGCCACGCCACGCCACGCACGCACGCACGCACGCACGCAACACCAACTCCTGAGCAACCGCGCCACTGGCAACCCTGCATGTCGGCTCAACTTGCTGGTCTTTGATCCGTTTCTATTATGCTCCCGGGGCACCCGTGGTTCTAGTTTTTGCCCCTCTGGCGGGCGGCGTGGCATGTGTGTCTCTGTATTGGAGTGGGCATTGTTGTTCGTTGGCTGACAACACATGCTTGCCAGCTGGGGTCTGTGCGGTTATAGTCATAGTTGATTTTGATATCAAGTTCCTTTCCTGATTCCAGGCCGCAGCAACTTGCTGGAGCGTACAGAGGTGCTGGAGCAGAGTGCGCAGCTGGCGGAGGCGACGCTGCAGCTGCTGCAGGATGCGCTAGATGTGGACCGGCTGCTTCGTGCCACCGACACGCGGCCCGACCTTCTCCACCGTACCGCGAATGCAAAGCGAACACAGCCAGATGTTGAGAGCGCAGAGATGAGAGATATAGAGGGACAGAGAGAGATGTAGAGAAGGTGTGGAAGAGCTTTGCGCAACATGCCAAAAGACATGAAAGTACGCGGGGCAATCAGTCAAAGGGAACCAGCTTCAACAATCAACTAAAAGGAACAACAAATGTGAAAAGAACAGACAACGAAGTCCGCGCGGGAATGAGAAAACATGAGCATATGCTTCACGAGTTGAAAGTGATGGACATGGAAGGATGCAACATGAAAAGAAGAGCGAACGGAGTGTAAGGCTTTTGTCACTTGTTGTTCCCCATATTCTTGTGTCGGGTTCTTACTTTCACCGCTGCGCGCCCGCCGCCCGCGCCGCCCGCCGCGCACTTGCGGCCCGCAGCACCCGCCGCCGTCGGCCGCGCCCTCACTCATTCAGTTCATCACTTCCGCCCACTTACTCACCCACTCACTCGCCCACTCACTCACTCACCCACCCACCCACCCACCACTCACTCACCCACCCACCCACTCACTCACTCACTCACTCACCCACTCACTCGCCCACTGACTCACTCACCCACCCACCCACCCACCACTCACTCACCCACCCACCCACTCACTCACTCACTCACTCGCTCACTCACTCACTCACTCACTCACTCACTGACTCAGTCACTCACTGACTCAGTCACTCAGTCACTCAGTCACTCACTCACTCACTGACTCAGTCACTCACTGACTCAGTCACTCAGTCACTCAGTCACTCAGTCACTCAGTCACTCAGTCACTCAGTCACTCAGTCACTCAGTCACTCAGTCACTCACTCAGTCACTCAGTCACTCAGTCACTCAGTCACTCAGTCACTCAGTCACTCACTCACTCACTCACTCACTCACTCACTCACTCACTCACTCACTCACTCACTCACTCACTCACTCACTCACTCACTCACTCACTCACTCACTCACTCACTCACTCACTCACTCACTCACTCACTCACTCACTCACTCACTCACTCACTCACTCACTCACTCACTCACTCACTCACTCACTCACTCACTCACTCACTCACTCACTCACTCACTCACTCACTCACTCACTCACTCACTCACTCACTCACTCACTCACGCACTCACTCACGCACTCACTCACTCACTCACTCACTCACTCACTCACTCACTCACTCACTCACTCACTCACTCACTCACTCACTCACTCACTCACTCACTCACTCACTCACTCACGCACTCACGCACTCACTCACTCACGCACTCACGCACTCACGCACTCACGCACTCACGCACTCACGCACTCACGCACTCACGCACTCACGCACTCACGCACTCACGCACTCACGCACTCACGCACTCACACGCTCACACGCTCACTCACACGCACTCACGCACTCACACGCACTCACACGCACTCACACGCACTCACACGCACTCACACGCACTCACACGCACTCACACGCACTCACACGCACTCACACGCACTCACACGCACTCACACGCACTCACACGCACTCACACGCACTCTCACGCGCTCACGCGCTCACGCGCTCACGCACTCACGCACTCACGCTCTCACGCACTCACTCACTCACGCACTCACTCACTCACTCACTCACTCACTAACTCACTCACTCCCTCACTCACGCACGCACGCACGCACGCACGCGTGCATGCACGCACGCACGCACTCACCCGCTCAATCATTCAATCACTTGCTCACTCATCGTGCTGCAGTGTTTTTGAAGTGCCCCAAACAAGAGGTTTGTTTTGGTCGCACTATTTCTGCAACAGCTGCTGACTTGACAACAGTGTCACTACCAAATTAGCTACACGAATCTCGTCGTACCTAGTAAGCCCCACGCCCCGCAGACTTTGTCAAAACAAGTCCAAGCCACGCCCAAGCAGTCAACACAGGCGCCGAGAGCGCAGGCGTGGGCAAAACCTGGCCATGACTTTTAGGGAGAAAGAAGGGGAGACGTGTAATCGTTTCCGTGGCAGCCTTTCAAAGCCCTCGACCAAGAAGCTGAGAACCAGTCGATCCAGGGGTAAGGCCTCAAGCTCCGAACGAAAGACGAAACGGGCTTGGGCGGAAAAACTCCAAAAAACGGGCCGCAAGCAAGCTTGCTAGAAGAACTCGGAAAACAGCGAGACCCAACGACGATCAGATGTGTGGAAAAGGGGCGGGCAAATGTGGGCGGGGATGGTTTGAATTGCATTTTCTATATTCGTGTTTGATTGCTTTTCTTTTCTGATTTCGACCGTACAAGCTCAGCTCGGTCTTTCCAGGCTGCCGGTGGTGCCAGACTTTGGCGGACCTCACGGCAGAGGCCGCAGCTGAGCTGCGGCAGTTCCTAGGTCAGTCAAAGGTGGCGACACGCCGCCGCTTCGAGGGGCTCTTCTCCGCTTCACAGGACAGTTCGGAAAGTTTCGAGAGTTGGGAGACGCTGAAAGATTTAAGCGGTCATTGGATTTCAACCTAAATCCGCTGAACCGAGGGGCGGAAAAGCCAAAAAACGAGCCAGAGAGAAAGAGAACCGCAATGTGTTTCGCTCAGACTGCTTTGCTACTGGAAGCTGAATCCGCTCACCTGCTTTGCTACTGGAAGCTGAACCCGAACTAAACGCAATGGCCAACGCCTCGCTGCTTCCCGGACACATTTTTTCGCAATGCAAGTTGGTTTGAGACCGGCGTTCGTTGCTCGGACGTGCCAGCGCTAGGGGTTGGAGCCGAAAAGGAGAATCTCTGCAAAGGCAGAAGTAGAAGCGAAGAAGAGATGAGATACGAACCGAAACGATGAGGAGCGAGGGAAACGAGAAGGAAGGAACGCCTATGAGTCGCCTAGGAAGTGAAGACGTTGAATCAACAGCAACAACCACATGTCTGAAGACATGAAACTAGGCCCGGAAGCATAGAGGCAAGTTGGCTGCGACCAAGTAGCTCAGTCGTGGATTGCTGGCCTTTAAGGAGGGGGGATTCTTGGAGGGCTTGCAAGATAGGATTTAAAGGCGTTGGTTTGGGCGTTGATAGGTCATAGGGTTTTTGACTTGGAGTGTCGTGTCGTACACTACGACATGAAGATAGTTCCACATGCTTTGTAAGTGCGCAGCAGCCTGACGTGACAAGGAAGCTTTTCGTGCTATTTAATGTGCCATGGCTTTATTTCACTGAAGGCTTGAAGTATTGCGATGCTCTTCTCAGTGCCGGTTCTCCCGGCTCATTGTGATCTTGCCAACCATCATGTCGCTCGTGTGGATTGAGTGGCTCGACATGTGCTTCGGATGGTGCCAGCAGCAGGCGAACAACTGCGATGTACCAACCTTGGTACGGAACCGAAAGCGGCGCCGTGGAGAAACCGCCGCCAGCTGGCCACACGAAACTGGAGCGAAGCTCCTGTGAATGCTTGCCTTGCTCGCGTTGATTTTCTGGCAAGCGCATGGCTGCGTCACTGGCTGACGACGTTATGCTCAAGTGCTGATGTCCGTTCTTGAATCTGCTGGCGTTGCCGGGCCTCACTTCACTTGGGAAAACTTGGAGCCAACGCACATGCTCAAGCATGTCGTGTAAGCAGGATCTTGAAGCGCGTGTTGAAAGATATGGAGGCTGCAAGGTGCGCGTGGCGCCGTGCGTGATGCTTGCGCGCGATGCCGCGCATGATGTTGCACATGATGCTGCGCTCAAGTGCACAGCGCGCAGGCAGCACAAATGCTCAAGCTGCTGATGTCAGTCGTGCCCGGCTTTGCAACTGTCTTTTTTTTGCTTCGCTCGACAAGCAAAACGTGGAGCGTGGTGTTCGCCATTACGACTTTGATTTAACGTGTCACGCTGGAGCGGGGCAGGCGGTGTTGTTCGTGTGCGTTTGTAGCGCTGGCTGCTAGCTCTGCTGAAATTGTCTGCCTGCGCGCAAGCAAGAGGCAAACGCCAAGACCGCTCATGACTGATTGCGTTGCTCTTGCTCCTTGCACGCGAGGCGGGCGTCACGCGCTTGCCGACAGTTTGCCACTGAGAGAACAGAGCTTCGAACGCATTCGCCCACTGATCGCGCTGAGCAACAGACCGTGCATGCCTGCGCGCTCAGTCGCCACTCACGAGCTATGCCACCGACAAGTCACCAATTACCACGTTCGCCAAGCTAGTCCTCGTGGCCAAAGTCTGACCAGAAGACGTTCGATTTTGCTCCAAGGCGTAGAGAGACCGCAGCACGTAGCTACGACCACGCAATGGACAAAGCGCCAGCGCTGCGGTTGCTGCCGCCAAAGTAACCAAATTTAGTTTGAACTACTCCAAACTAGCTTTATTTTGTCTCCTGTACCTAGCGATCGATCTGTGCGCCGTATCTTCCACTGCCTGCCATGAAATCTGTACGTGGCCGCACTTTCCCAACATTACGTGTACGCTTAGATACTACAGTACGAGCGCTTCGCGCGCTACTCTTGTGCTTAAGAGCGATTGTTGCGGCGGAGCCATGGGAATGCACTTTGCGTACTACTTGCGGACTTAGAAGTACCACTTGCGCAAGTAGAAGTTGCGATTCTCGAGCTGGAGCTACGGGAGCACACTTCGCGTACTACTCTTGCGCTCCAAAGCTATGAGCGTGGATCCTGAGCCGCGTGACTGCTCTTTGCGTCCTGCTTACATGCGATTTCATCCGGAGCTGCGGGAATGCACTTCGCAAGCTACTTCTGTGCTCAAATTTTGCGATTTTGCCGCCAGAATCGCGGCACCACAGTTTGCGTATACGTTTAGCCTTAAAAGAAACCAAGGGAAAATCAAAGCAGGTGCCCAAGCCAAGAGACAACTTGCAAAGGCCGCTCCACGAGCAGTGGATGTGAGGAAATTTGCACAGCGCCGCAGCGAGAGCGCTTCGACGCGCACGATTTTCGCAGAGGGTCCGCCGAGCTCCAGGCAAATTCGGACGGCGCCATTCGCGTGGCGCCACAGTGAGATTGCTTCGACACGCATGATCTTCGCAGAGGGTCCGCCGAGCCCAAGGCAAACTCGCACGGCGCCATAGCGAGAGCGCGTCGGCGTCGACAGGCGCACTGTCTGCAAAGGAATCGCCGCGACCAAGACACGTTCGCATTCGCCGCGACCAAGACAGATTTGCAGGGCGCCACAGCGACGGCGCTTCGACCCGCACGATTTCCGCAGAAGGTTCGACGCGGTCAAGACACACGCGCACGGCGTTGCGGCGAGAGCGCTTCGACACACACGATCTCCGCAGAGCGGTGCGTTTCGTATGCTCCCGTTGGGCCTACCTCCGCCAGAAAAAGAAGAAGAATTAGGGGTGCCGAAGAACATGTTGTGCTTTTGGGATAGTGAAGTAACACCCGAAAAGTTGCCCTGTTCTTAGGACAAGTTGGCATGAGAAGTTGGCAGGTGAAGGAACTCTCGAAAAGTTGGCATGAGAAGTTGGCTGGGGAAATCCTCTCGAAAAGTTGGCACGAGAAGTTGGCAAGTGAAATAACTCGCGGAAAGTTGGCAGGCGAAGGTTGCAGCAGAAGAAGAACCCTCCGGAATGTTCTGGGAGAAAAGCGGCGCAGAACAGAAAAATAACAAAAGTATGCAGAGAATGGCACCGCCAGGCTGTGAGGAGCGCGGCTGGGCCAGTGGCATCGCTGCAGCGGGTTGCCATTGAAGCCTTCGATTTCCTTTCCGCAACCAGAGGCCGCTTTTGGAACGACGGGCATGCTGTGTTGTCAGGCATTTTGGCAGCTATGGTCATCGCCCTCTCGGGGATTTTCCTCCTTGCATGTGCCTCGCTGGCTTTATTTGCGCGGGAACCTCGGGAGGTGAGCATTTTGTCGCTGTCGGGCCAGTATGGCTGTGAGACATCCTTGTGCAGTTGCTTCTCCTGGTTCTTGTTCGCGTCCTTCGCGCTCTTCTTATTTGCCGTTTCGGGCACAACAGTGGTGACATACTCGCAAGCGAGCGGTTTTTGTTTGGTTTTGGAGAACGACATCGGCACGGACCTGTTCCGGGCCACAGGGCTTCGCGTGGCCGCGTCGCAGTCCCTTAGCTCTATCGTCGACATCTCCCAGCAGTGCCTGGCAAAAAGCGCCGGACACACCGGAGACCTGGGAAATCTGGATGTGTTGACTTTGCTGAAGGGAGCCGATGGCACCTCAGTCAGGGAGACTTTGGCCAGCTTTGAGCTGCGCAACTCTTCTCAACCCCCAGATGTCACAGCGCTTCAAAGAGCTGTTGGGGACTCAGTCGCTCAGGAAGCTTGCGTGTTCTGCAGATTGGTTTCGTTGGGTCCCAGTTGAAGCGAACTCTTGGCTTGCCCGTTGTTGTCTCATCCCACTTTCCTTTTGCTTTCTCTTAAGTTAAGCCATTGCAAACCACACTCTCAATCGTATGCAATCCGGACTGAAGCGGGGCGATGGAAAGGTCATAGAGCTTCATAGTCCGGAATAGGCCTTGGTGACAACTAGTCACGCTCCAAGCGCTCCCGTGGTGCATAGACTTCACGCGGGTTGCGCGAAGTGTATTCTGCCAACCCTTGGAAGGTTTTCTTCACTTAGAAATGCGATTTGTCTCTTTCTTCTTCATGCTTTTTCCTCTTGAGGTTCGCATCCCGGTGGATGCCCAGCTGCTGCCCAGTGACGGGCTGCGGGGCCACGCGCGGTACGGGGCGATGGAATTGGACGCGCGCACGCGCCTCGGGCTCTCCGCCTCCGTCAGCTGCGCTGACTTCACAGAAGGCCGACGAAGGGAAGCAGGGCAACTTTTGTGGGAGGAACATGAAGTTCTGAAGATGACAATAGAAATAGCAAATATTGGTTAACCAAAGGCGAGGTTCACAAAGTTCGACAAAACGGTCAAAGGGCGAGATCAAAGTCTCAAAGCTGTTTCGATTCACAAATTGGACATCTTGTCATCGCAAAACAAGTCTGGCAGTTAGAGGTTCTCTTGCCAAGTCTTGCCAAGTTCTTCTTTGCCCTCAGGCGCAAACGGCACGTCTGTCACGATCCCGGGGCTGGAGACCTTCGTTCAGTCCTTCCGATCCCTGGGCAGCGCGACGGGCAACTGCAACACGTCTGACCAGGACTGACAAGAGAACAGACGAGAGAAGAGCCTGAAGAGTCTGTGAGTTTGAGAGCGAAAAGTGGTTCTACACAGCTTGTACATGACTCCAGGCCTTGATCTTCACTACTGCATGAGTCCATGGAAAACAGGAGTTGAGCAGACTGACTGTTTGTGTTAACAACATTAAATTACAAGACTTGTAGTTAACAACGGCTTGCTGTATACGTGGTAGCGGAGCCGAAATCCCAAACATAGGGGAGCTTTAGCGCACAGCAGCAAGCGCAACAACAGCGACGGCAGCCAGCTTTTAGCGTCAGCTCAGCGCACTTCCTACAGGAACAGACAACAGGACAACAGCCGCAGAAACAGTAGGAGCCACGACAGGGAACAGGCACAATACAGGAGACTACGCAAGTACAATCTGCCGTTCTTCACTGGTGACTACTCCCAGTATGAAGACAGGCTGTTCCTATGTCGGACCCGACCTGTGCTACAACTGGCTCAAGAGGATACACGACAGATTGGAGCGCACATACGCGATCCCACACAAGCAACAAAAACAATAGACCTTGCAAGAGATCTACACTAAGGAAGAAACTACAAAGGCAAAGGGAAGAGCAAGCGACGCTACAAAGGAAGCAAAGTAACAGGCAAACACAGAAGCAATGGCTACTGCGAAGGGTTCGACAAAGGCAACAAAGGAAGCTGCGGAAATGCAAAGGCTACTCAGTCTATTTATCTTTACGTAGGCGTGTGTGTACGTATGTGTGCTGACCAAATCGCATTCTCGCCTAGGCCCCGTTCCGGACAGACAGCCAACAAAATCCTGTCAGCAGAAAAGCCGCGGGAATTCCAGCTACTTTTTCCACGAGACGACACAAGCTCCAGCCTACAGTGCTGAGGGGATGCTCTTGAGGGTGTGCTTAGCATGTGGCATGCATGGATACAGCGGGTGTGCTTAGCATTTGGCTGGCATGGGTACAGTGCTGAGCAAATGCTGTTGAGCGGGTGTGCTTGCCATGTGGACATGGCGCTTAGCATGTGGCATGCATGGATACAGCGGGTGTGCTTAGCATTTGGCTGGCATGGGTACAGTGCTGAGCAAATGCTGTTGAGCGGGTGTGCTTGCCATGTGGACATGGCGCTTAGCATGTGGCATGCATGGATACAGCGGGTGTGCTTAGCATTTGGCTGGCATGGGTACAGTGCTGAGCAAATGCTGTTGAGTGTGCTTGCCATGTGGACATGGCGCTTACCATGTGGCTGGCACGGATACAGTGGTGAGCGGGTGCTCTTGAACGAATGCGCTTATCATTTGGCTGGCATGGACGCAGCCCTGTGCTCTTGAGCGGGTGTGCCTACCATGTATTTGCTTAGCATGGACGTAGCGCTGATGGGTGCTCTTTTGCCAAATGGTGCTCTTGAGCGGGTGTGCTTTCCATTTGGCTGCCACGAAATGCTGCGCCTGCCGCACAAAATGCGCACAGCCAACGCAAATGCACACACACTTGACCTCCAGCGACCATGAAAGGCTGCGCCTGCTAACAAAAACGCACTACCTGTGACGCAGCAAAAACGCAAGATCCACGGCTTCGCGGCTGCGCGCGCCTGTTCAACGAAACGACGTTCTTTTAGCTCCAACACGCACGAAAAGCCGCGCTTGCCAACGAAAGTGCACACGTTGTGAAGCAGTTAAAGCGGGCGTTTACGCGATGACCGGGCCAACAACAAGAACAAATTGCCCCACTAACCGAAACAGACCAAGGACCACGACGAATCCTTGGTGGAAGCTCTGACTACTGGAAACAGCTGTTGCCCAACACCGCAAGAACGACTAGATGATTGCATCTGACCATCATCAACCGGCAAGGGCCGGATCAAGAACAACTACAAGAGAACACCAAACAACTTTCCAAACAAGAATTACAAAGAAGAAGGAAGACTTGAAGGTGATGACTCGACTGGAGAAACCAGATTCCGAAGAAATGTCTCACCTACACACCGAGAAACAACAAAGACTACACCAATAAGACAAAGCTCACAACCACAATCTACCATGGCAACACCGCCAGGAAAGTCAAAGCTCCAACTACGAACTCCACAAAGATATGGAGACCCAAAGTAGGTAGACAATATAGAACCAAAAGCAACCACACATAGACCGCTCACAGCACAAGACGGCCGCCAAGACTACTGGGAAAGACAAGGTGGACACTGTATAAAACACCACGCAGCACTCAGAGCCGCACTGCTTACACCTACAGATGGACTAGGACATCCACCAGTCAACGCACCTCCAAGAGGACCACGACGAGGAACAACACCACGAACACCACGAAGCTCACAAAGCAAGAGAATTACGACAACCGCAACAACCAACTCCACAAATAGCAGAACACAACCGAACTCATCTACCACACAGAAACTGGTGTCCAAGACAACTACAAGAAACAGCAATCGCGACAACCCAGCATTCAAGTAGATTTTGCCTACATCAAATCGCAACAGGCTCCAAAGTCCATAACAGTCCTAACAGCAGTAGATGTTACTACGCAACTGTGCATGGCGGTATTGGTTCCGGACACAAGGCATACTACAAACTGACAATGAAAACACCTTCACTGCGCTACTGAAAGCAACAGCATCCAAAGCCGGCTCAATGACCATACAACACTCGCCGTCCTACAGCAGTAGCAGTCAAGGAAGCGTTGAGCGACTACGCAGAACTCTTCTTGGACAAATATGCGTCGTCAGAGCCAAAGTTGAAAGCAACTACAGCGTAACACGGTCCACCAAACACTGTCTACTACCTTGGATAGTACGACTTGCAGCATGGACCGTATATCGCTACGTCACCCACTCCGACGGCTACACAAGCTTCGAACGCCGCTGGGAAAGCAAATACGAGTGAGCGATTTGCGAATTTGGCGGAACACTACTTTACCCTCGCCCACTACACAAGAAACTTCCGCAAGCCGATCTCCAAATGCAGAAATGCATATGGCTCGGAAAAGCTTCCGAAACAAACTTCAGACCGCTACCGGACAGCCCATGGCTACTTCACCAACTGGAGGACGACGCCATCGCCTATGACCAACTAAAACGCACAGGACTTCAGAAGACGCTACAATCAGACCAACGGAAGAACCAAAGAACCGCAAGCGCTACGACAAAGAGCCAACGCAGTAACACTTTCCAACGGAACATCCGTCACCTCCGACACAAACGACGACACTTCAGGAGACCAACCTATAATCTTCGACAACGAAGGTTACGACGAAACACAATTACGTGAAGGAATGAAACACGAATCCAAACACATGAAACTACATGATGTTTACAACAAAGTAGATGCGTCTACACTCAATGACGTCGTCATCAGAGGGAAGCAACCCCCGCAAGATGTCCGCAGAAAGAAAGAGCAGGCTTACGAAGTAGAATCGGCGCGCCCGCCGAGAAGACCGAGGACGAAGACTCTGTCTACGCTTCTACACCGATGCTTGCAACGCAACGGATACTTCTCGCGCTACAGATGTCATGAGCAAGCTGGGTAGCGCGACTGGGCGACAAGACTACTGCGTCGACCCATCTTTGAGGCAATCCAGAAGGTACTGCATCGCCTTGAACCAGGTAAACCGCAACAATTTCTGGGAAGAAACACCGAGCGCTTTGGCAACTACTGCGCCATTAGACTTCAGGACTCCTACATCAACACCATGATCGAAGAGACTGGAATGACCAACTGCAACGCAGTGACAACCCCAAGAATTGCCCGCTACAAGCCAACGCTAGAAGACGAAGCGCTTCTCGACCACGAGCGACACAAAAGTTGGCAAGCTACAACGGTTAGCCTACACAAGACATTGCCCACGCAACAACAGAACTAGCGCGAGTCCTCACAGCACCTACAGAACTTTCACAAAAGCGAGTCAAGCACTTACTACGATACCTTCACGCCACCAAGCGCAAATTCACCATAGAACCAACAACAACACTTAGAGCAAACACCAACAACATCCTGGACCTTGATGTCTAGGCCGATGCGGACTGGGCAGGATGCCCTACCACCAGGAAGTCAACTTCAATTTTCAACCTTCATTTCCGTGGAACAGTTGGTTTAGCAGGACACAAGCTACAATGGCACTGAGAATGGCAGAATCTGAGCTCTACACCATTTGCACAGGAGTTAAATTAAACTTACGCATTCACACAGACTCCACAGCAGGCAAAAGCATTGCTACACGACAAGGCGCAGGCAAACGAGCAAAGCACATCGACCTCAATTTTCTCTACACACAAGACATCATCCAACACGACATTAGGTGTGTATGTGTGGAAGATTGGCGTGACTTCTTGGATTTTTTTGTGCTGTAGCTTCTTGTTTTGCTGTCTTGTTATGGTATTAGAAGATGTTCGTCTAGCTCTTACCTTCATCATCCCCAATTTCCAAACCAGTGTGCGCGTCAAACACTGAGAAAGAGGAAACTCCCGAAACTGTGTAACAGTTGTTCGGTGCTCCACATCTGCAATGCTGAAACCACAAACTACCCATAGGTACACCGCCCGCAGTTGCCCGAGTAATATCGTGCGTTTTCTGGCTTTGGTGCCATCTTTCCAAGCCGCGATTGCATGGGGGAAAGGAGAGCACTGTCCGTTCTTCATGTGAGATGCGCCGAGCCAGTGGGGAATTCCTTGCGTTCCCGAATCCCATTGGCACGCTCTGTCCAAACTCAACTAGTGTCAAACATGTTGCTATGTTGGAAACCGGGAACCGCATGCAGAGCTCTTTTCGCAAACCGAAGCAGGAAGGGTTGTTCACCCTCACCCAAAAGCCTCAATGCTCCAAATCGTTTTCGGTTGCAAGCAACACACGGGCAACACACAGCCGAGGGAGAACCAGGCGAAGCCACAAAAGCGGTGTGCGCGGGCGCGGGGGGCGAGGAGGGCAGCACAAGCGACGAGACAAGACCCAGCAAGCAGAAGCTACACGGAGCAACGCAGCAGATGACGATCCCAAGCCGCGCACCAGATGGACCACGACAAAGGAACGTAGACGCCTAAAGCGGAAGGATGGATTGAGAATTCAGTTCTTGCTTCCATGATCAGCGTTTTAGCACAGAAACCAAGCTGCAGGATGCTACCGAGCAGAGGATGCAGGGGACCAGAAAAAGAAGTTGAAAGGGTGGGTACAAAAGATCATGAGATAACATGCGAACATGAACACGGCTAACAGGGCCACGCACAAAATACCACAGCGGCAGCTATGCCCAAAATACAAAATACGGCATGGCAGGAGATCAATCCATACCGGAAAGCCGGCAACTAGATGTCGCAACAAGAAAGCAAGGTGTCACAAGGGAATGAGGTACAGAGACTTCACAAGCATGCAAACCACCGCCCCCAAGCAAACTCCAACTATGGCGCTCCAAGCCTACCTCCAACTCATCGACAGCGAGTTGAAAACCGAACTACGGCCAGCAGATGTAGTCACACCACAAGCGGAAAAGAAGTTTTGCGCCTCACGGCCATCTTGCCAACAGAGAGCAACAATCCGTTCAAGCTCGCGGATGACGCTACATTCTCAGCGTTTGCCAATGCCCAAAAACCATGGCACGACAAACTAGCGTTTTCAGACTTCTCTCAGTCCCGATGGCACGAGAAGCATGACTTCCGTGTTACAGCTGCAGCGATCAGGTAAAGGGAAAGGCAACAAAGAAGGGAAGCTCTTCACTATGCCCGTTCTAAGTAAACTGCAAAAGGAAACTACGGACACGTTCAAACACAAAAGATCATACAAAGGAAAGAGCAAAGGGCACAACACAGCTGCATGTCAGAATTGTCCCACATGGGCTCTATGCAGGCAGAATGCCCATTTGGCAAGTAAGCAAGCAGAAAGACAGCCCGTAAGACTATCTCTGACATAAGGGGCGTTGCCTTTCAGACCACGCTGGCCCAACCTTATTTGGACGATGAAACAATCATATCAGCGCACATCAGCGTGACACCTCATACATCCGCGTCGGAGGAACATTTCATCGTTGGTCACTACCCAGCGCCACAGCGGCAGCAAGACAGCCAACCAGAACGCAAGCTGGGGCGACCGGAGAAGGGGCACCTACTCGCTGCTACAAGACAATCTCAACTCGTTTGCAAAGCTTGAGTGAGACAGCGGTCACAGCAAGGAGTAGTCGCGAATCACGGAGCAGGATTGCGAGTAGAGAGCCCACTCGGACTTTTTGGAGCGTTTGGCGCATTCGATTTGGCTCGATCGCGACCTCGACAGGCGGTGGCGTGCTCGGAGGCGGTGACCCGGGCAGGCCGGGCGTGCCAGGCCGCGGCGCGGTTTTTGCAGGAAGCCAAGGCCAACGTGCGCCTGGTGGCCTTTCCCTGCCCCGACTTCTCCGCAGGCGCCAGAAACGCCCAAAAAACGGATTCACAAACTGTGGGATTCAGAGAGGGACACAAGTGGATCGGAATCGTAGGCAGGGCCCGTGTGCCGTATTTCCAAGTTATCTATCCAGCTACCGGTGCCAGATTGCTGGCCTCAAGGGCCGTCAGGAAATGCTTCGTGCGACGTGAAGGACCTCACCCAAAACGCGGATGGGACCTGGACGAATGTGTGCTCGCCGAGACGGACACCGAAGACCTGCACCTTGGAGGAGTTCACTTTGTACCTCCAGGACTTCGACGCCCGCATCGCCAAGGACGGGACGTGAGTGACGGTGAGTGACGGTGAGTGACGGTGAGTGACGGTGAGTGACGGTGAGTGACGGTGAGTGACGGTGAGTGACGGTGAGTGACGGTGAGTGACGGTGAGTGACGGTGAGTGACGGTGAGTGACGGTGAGTGACGGTGAGTGGCTTGAGGACGCTTTTCCAATTTCACGATCTTTGTAACTTTTGCAAATTGGATTTCGCTTTTTTGAAGAGGTCTTCGCCTTCCTGGAGCACGCCATCGTCAGCACGGACGTGGCGCAGCTGGCGCCGGCGCCGGTCCGTCTGCCCGGCAGCTGTGCGACCCTCGCGCTGCACTGGCAACACTTCATGCAGGCGCGGAGCGAGCGTTTCGTGGGTTTGGGAACACGACGGACGTGACCGGACGCATTCGGTGTTCCATGGTTCAGGCCCTGTGCTACAGCTCCGTGCCTGCCTTGCGCAGCGTGGGCTGGGCATTCTTTTGGGCTGGGCTCACCATGCTGGGCGCAGACACCTGGCCGCACAAGATGCTATCTGGGAGGCCAGTGAAACTTCCTGGTCTGGGGACATTGGCAACAGGCAGACTTGAACAAGATGCAGCTTGTGGTTTGGCAGATGCGAGCTTCACATGTAAGGCCTGTCTGATGTACCTGGTTTGGAGACGTGCCTATGACAATTACTACCGCCCGAAGGACAACTGGATGGGAGGCGATGATATGCCCGTGCGCTCTGCCAAATCTGTTGCTTCAAGTGTTGCTCGGAGCGAATTCAACCCATGCTTTTTTCTTTCTGTTTGAACGTTTTTTCCACACAACATGGCGAAGGGCTGTTCCGAATCACTTGCACTGGCCTTCAGACTGAAGTGACTAGAGAAAGGAAACTGCTCAGAGCTTGTGCTATGAACTTGGGAGAATCCTGCGAGAGCTCGCAGAAAGAGGTCACACAGACCTTGACAAACTTTGCTCAGAGAAACATGCGCAGAGCTGGCTCCAACAGTCACAGAGAAGTAGCGCAGAGACTTGCAAAGAACCTGCCCAGAGAACTTGCGCAAAGAGCTTGTGCAGAGCCCCAGAGGAACTTACGCGGAGCTTGTGCAGTGAGATTGAAACAGAAATGTTGCTGCAAAAATTGCTCCGGCCGCCTCTTTCCTCGTTTGCTTTGCGGCTTCCGAGCACTCTCGCAATCCAAGGCAACCAGGTCGTCGGCCTTGAGTTTCTAACTGGCTGAAGATTGGGACCTCCATACTTTGTCAGTGCCGAAGGCACCGGGACAACGATTCCGACGATTCACGTGTGCAGTGTTCGATCGCACAGATCCAACGTTGGTGCAGCCTTTGACGCAGATTTGGAACGTTTCACTAGAAAAGAATGCAGTTGTATTGGAAGGGCTCGGACTGCGCGTTGGGTAGAACTTTTGGCTTAGCATCATGCTCAAGCAATCTGTGGGATGGACATCATGGATACAAATGTGTGAAGGGCAGGCCTGGATGGGTTGCATGTGGTTCGAAACTGCATATTTTGGATTTCACATGATTTCACATTGACTTTTCGTAGGCATGGGCAATCAGCAAGCCAGGCAGGGACTGAGTCGATTTCGGCTTTCAGTTCTCTTTCTCCCGCGTGCAGCCGCTTGCTTGCAGCTTCTTTTGCGAAGCGCTTCGCGAGGCAGCGCGTTTTGGCCAGCAGAGGAGGCTCAGGACGGGAACGTCGCTGACTGCTCACTTGTTTACTCAAATGTACCATGTCTACTTGCATAGTTTCTCTGTTGCTCGTCTTTTTCTGTTTTGCCTTCTTTTCTTCACATACCTTACAGATTTGCTCACACGAGGCACAGCCCTTCCGATGAACGGCTCGCCCATCTTCACTGCAGCCGTTGCTGCGCCGGACACTCCCGTACCGCCGTACCGCTCAATCGCTAAACCGCTCCCGTTCGAAGCCTTCACCTCAGGACCCCGCGGCCAGCGTGGTGGTCGAGTCGGAGCAGGATGACCGCCACTCTGCAGCATGTCCGATGGTGCCATGCTTTCAAGAAGTTCTGTCGCAGGCATTCCCGTGGTGTTCACTTGGACACACGGCGGTGCTTTCCTCAGATTTTCAGCAAACCGTTTGCAGATACCAAGTGTAGCATGTAAAGGTCAAAACGTGTTCCTGGCGGCCTCCTTCAACCAGTGGAAAGATCAAATCCCCATGGTTCGCTCCGGGCGCCAGCCCGAGTGATGTGTCGTGAGTGTGGGCGTGAGCGGTTCAGAGAGCGAGGCAGGAGTTCTCCGTTGTCCAAGAGCTTCCCAGAGGCGATGTGAGGGACGGAGTGACGCGCGATCGGAATGAACAGAATGATTTGACGGGGATGTGGTGTCCACGGTGTCCGCATGTGTCCACCGACCTTAGGTGTCCACCAGTACAAGTTCATTGTGGACGACCAGTGGCGCTTTGCACCAGACCAGCCAAGTTGCTCGACCAAGTTGCAACGGTGAGAGCTCATTCGCACTCAGTTTCATTGAGATGTTAGTGATTCTGCCCGGGCGACCCGTCACTCGTGTCACTGCTAGGAATGCAAGATAGCCAAGCTGGCAAGTTTTTCGTGACAAGTGAAGCAGATCTAGTGACATGAGCTTGGCTGGTTAAACTGCCAGGCCAGGGAAACATGAACAATGTGCTAGACATCTCTACGTATCAAAGATTTCAGGCGAAGCTGCCTGTGTTTGCGGGTGTCAGCTGTCCCCTCACCAGGTATCGCAGGTCGAAGACAAAGATGTCAGCAAGTTTGGTCAGATGATTTCTGATCCAAATGTTGGCCTGGCATATTTGAGATGCACAGCAATGCTTCGGGAGAATGCGATGCCGGGCCAGGACTACACTTTGGATGCGCCTGTGGTTCCCATGGTAGGAAGCTCATCATGCACATTTGCGAGTCACGCGCACAGCGCGTGAGGTGTTGAGCAAGAGCACCTTTGCTGCCATCCCAACCAGGTCGCATCGATAGTCGATCCGTCCGACTGTCGTGCCTGGTGTTCAGGCTGGCTCCCGGTCAGCTGCCCTGCCGCCTTGTTTTCTGCGATTTCGAGTCAAGTTGCTCCTTTTCTCTCTCTCGCTTATGCGTTTGTGTTCACTTTCCCCCTCCACTGCCTACGAAGACCCATGGTTTTCCCTCTCGTCCTCAAACACCAATTCATGTTTGGACAATTTGACCAGCAAGCGTCCGAATCCCAGCTCACTCGTAGAGCCTGCAGTCATGCCGGTGCCGGGAGGGAGCGGGAGCCTGATAGGGATCCCAGGGAACTAAAATTCTGCAAGCTCAGCCAACTGCGAATGATCAGCGCCTGCTTCACCACCACAACGCTCAATTCCTGTCACTGCCTCACGGCACAAGAGCTCGACACATACGATCCGGGTCGGTCCGGGCTTAGCATCAAAGGTGTGGCACCTGGCCAGTGCGTGTGTCCCGCTGAGCCGACAGCCGCGATTTTGCTGACTGGATCGTTGACGGCCAACCGCCAAGGCCCAAGCCGAAGTGTCCACGCTCGGCTGTCGGGAGCTCCACGCCTGTGAGCCTTGCGCTCCATGGACAGACAAGAAGACAAGGTCACATTGCCCCTACGCCTTGTCGGAAGCCGCAGGGCTTCAGGGCTTGCCCTGCAAGATTTGCCCTGCAAGATTGACACTGACTTGACGCTGACAGTCGGTTCGTGCAGTCAGGCCGCGTTTGTGAAGAGTCCTTTTTGTCAGAGGTTTGCAAGTCACAGCTTTTTTCAATATTCTTTCCTGTTGCCAAGTTGTGTTGAGTCCAGCGTGCGCCCCCTTTGCTGCATATCTCTTTGAATTCTTCTGCCTTTTCTCTCTTTCTCTCTTTCTCCTGCTTTCACAGTGTCTCTTCGTCTCACCGGCTTTCTCCTCTCTTCCTTCTTCTTTCCTTTCTTCTTCTTTCTTCTCTTTTCCTTTTCCTTTTCTTTCTTTTCTTCCTTCTCCTTTTCTTTCTTTCTCCTCTTTTCCTCTTTTCGGCTCTTCGGCTTTCGGCCAGGATGAACATCCCGACGCACTGCCTCTGCGACCACGTCTACTTCCGCGAGCGCGAGGACGCGCTGGTGGCCCGGGTGGCCCAGGCGGAACGGAACGGAAGGCCCGAGGCCCGAGATGGCGAGCCCCGAAGGAATCTCGAAAGAAACAAATGTAAAAAGAAATATATAAAAGAAACATATGTAAGAACTACATATTTTATTTCGAAAGAGATGTCGATGTAAAACAGAATGAACATATACATCTCTGCTACGTTTTAAGACAGTGATTACAACCATACAGCCCCAACCCAAGAAGCTTAGGCTGCAATCGTGCAATCCCAACAGTTGCGGCCATTTGAACACCGGGCTTTGATTGCGACTCACATCCAGTAAGCTTGGCTTTGACAAGTGGAGTCCTCTCAGCTATTTCTCAGCAACACGAAAGCCAACTGCCACCTCTTCTGCCACCGCGAAGACCCTCATGTTTGCGACCATTGCGTCCACTTGCGCCGCCCGCAAACTCCACTTTCCCTCTGCCGGGTTGGAAGTGACGCACAGAATTGCCGAATGCACGGCTTCCGTGGATCTTCACCTCCAATTATTCGACTTTGAGAATCTGGCAACATCTCCATGCAGATGGAGCTATGGGGCAGACAGCCGCAGGCAAGTCAATAACTTGGAAGTTGCAGACCGTGCCCACCTCAAGGTTGCTTGGCTCGCACAGCAAGCCTGGCCGGGCCGACTACAATGCAAGTCGACACGGGGCAATTGCGAGACTTTCTGTTGGAGAATTGGAGAAGCACTCGGCCCGCACAAAAAAAGCATCTTACAGCAAGTATTGATTCCTGTCGCATGCATGTTGGCAGAAGTTGCCGCTTTGCTTGGCACTCATTTAGGTGGCAGTCACGCACCGCTACGGTCAGAAATACTCTACCACAGTCGTTGCCTCAGTGAGAGCACAAGAGCACGCGTGACACCATCGCCGGCACAGGTGTACGTGACGCGAAGCAACTTTGGCGAAGCCGCGGACAGGAGCCAAGTGACGACTTGAAAGCGGAATCAAATGACTTCAACTAGACTTTTCGACTTTCGGAGGACTTCAATCTGATGGGACTCCCGGGCTCAGGCGCGAGACAGGACACAGGCCCGGAAGCTTTCGAACGCCGAGGCAACGCGCCGCAGCTCTGACGGCCGCGAATTCACAGCTCTGACGTCCAGTTCGTTTCAAACTGCGTTTCATGGGGCATGAAAAAAGAGGTTGGGGAGGGTGGATTGACACTTCGCTTTCACAAAGATGATTCCTGAAAATCTCGGCTCTTCAGACACCCGGCAAATCCCAATCTGCGCCGGGTGCGGCCGCCCTTGAAGGCATTTGCGCGTTGTACCACTTCTGCCAGGGTTTTCCTTCAAGCCCTTGCAGGCAGCCCCTCGGTGATGGACTATTTTGCCATAGGTGGCAAACCTTTCTTGCTGTCCTCTCAGAACTTTCAGAACTCGCAGAGCTTGCGGCCTGTGCCCTTGGGGCGCTTGCAACGGCCCAAGGTCTCGATTTCCTCCGCATATTCCTGGTATTTTTAATACATGCACACAGGCACGGGCAAGTAGCTTCACTTGTACCTGCGAGTGTCATGACTAGGAGCAGTCAGCTGAGGCAAGCCGAGCGAGTAAAAGCTGGAGTTTTCAGAACGTTCTGAATCTGAATTGCAGGGCGTGGACAGCCATGCCCTACAAGCACTGCAGGCCGCATCATGCCGTATCAAGGATCGAGTCGAGGCCTCTCGACTCAACTTGCCAGGCTTTCCAGAAGGCGCAGGCCTTCCAGGCGAACTCGAGAACTCAAGTGGAACATAGAGACGGACGTTTCGTGTTCGTTTCAGGGCGAGGGCTATCCGATTGCAAGAGGCGCACGGGTCGATTTCGGATCGGGCGCGGGGCGGGTGCCGAGAGACACTTTTCATGGCGCAGGGGCGGCATCTCGACCCGTCTGGTGCATAGATATTCGCAGGATATTTTGTTTTACTTTCCTGAGCTTTCTCCAAGGCAGAGGACGACCTGGACGGACTTGTTGCAGCTTCATGTGGGCTGGGGCATGAGGGCGCAAGTCTCTGCAGGATGTAGACGACGACGATGGGCATGTCAAAGCGCCCAGAGCACTGCATCAAGGCTACGATTCGAGCCAGGCCAGTGACCGACGTCGCCGCCTGTCGCCGCGTGTCGCCGCGTGTCGCCGCGTGTCGCCGCGTGTCGCCGCCTGTTGCTTTGCCAGGTCCGGGAATGGCCAAGCAGTCGCTTCGAGGCAAGCGAAGCGTTGAGTCGAGTCCTTGCGCGCGCGCGCACGGCAGGTGATCCGAAAGCTGCAGGATGCCACCAGGAACAGGGGACAGGATCGCATCCCCGCATCCCGGATTCCCGGATTCAAGCATCGGCTCGGATCGGCTTGCACTGTTGAATCGGCTTGTGTTTCAGGTTGTGCTCATGAAAGACAATGAAGAGAACAGATTAGTCGCAGTCACGGGCTGGGTATTTCTTTGAGCTTTGGCAAGCAGTTCTCTCAGTTTGCACTTTCTTTTCATGTTAGATTTGTCTATTTGGCAGTCGGTGGACTGTTTGCACATGCCCGGACCATGCGCATCTTAAGGTCAAAATTATGCCGAACAGGCTCGGCTTCGGGTGCAGCGCAGCCCAAGCTTGAGCTCGTTTTGGGTGGCATTGAAGCTTGCTCTGCGGGTGCAGGTGGGTCGGCGTCAGCCATTCCGATTTTGTCATCGACCACCCGTCGGAGACGGAGCTTCCCTGGCAGGAGCGGGTGTGCAAGTGGCCTGTTTCTGTTTGGCAAGGAATGAGAATGAAAGGAATCACTGGAATCGGGAGTCCATGAGGACATTGGCTGCGTGTGCTTTTTGAATGAAGTCGGCTACCCGTACGCCTGCGGCCTCTTGGGGGTCTATCGGGACGCAGAGCACACGTATGCCCGAAAGCTTAGAGAGCTCTCTCGGAGTGTGGTGTGTGGTGCCGCCAGAGGTGGTGACAACTTTCGCAACAGAAGGCGACTTGTTCTCCTGGTGCGAGGACGGCTTTGCGAAATGTAAGCAATGTGAGCTGGAGCTTGTAAAGTTTGTGCTTTGCGAGCTTTGAGGGCTTTGAGAGCGTGTTCTGACAGGGTGGTGTGGCACCAGGCCACGAAAGGGAAATGGTCAGCAGCCCGGGAATAGACGGTGACATGTGGTGGGTTACGCTGGACCTGTCTCTGCGCTTTGCTGCTTCCGTATGTGTCCGAGGTCGTCCAGCCGATTGCAAGGCAGATCATGGAGGGCATTCAGCAGCTCCACGACTTTGGCATCGTTTCGCCCTTAAAGCTAGGCCTGAAGTCACTTAGGGCCAGAGTCAGTTGATCGATTCGAGCAAAGTTCCGACATCTTGGATCGCATGCATAGAGACTGCGAGTTGGGAGTTAGAAGTTGTCCGAGGTGCATAGAGACTTATCCTTGGAGAACGTGCTGATATCAAAACAGGGTGCGCCTTCGCATTTGGAAGAGAGAGACAGAGAAGAAACAAACACGCAGACAGAGACCGGTTTGAAACATCTCTCACGCTTATTCATTCTTATTTGTTTAATATATATATATATATATATATGTATATATATATATAATGTATATATATATATATATATATATACACATATATAATAGCATGTCTTTTGTAGTCAGACTCCGAAGACGCCTTTTTTTCCGCCCAGCCTTCCGGCCAGACGGCTCCGACACGTCCGCCTTCCAGATCCGCATCATCGACTTCTCCATGGCCTCCACCGCCCGGATCTTCAAGCCCCAGAGCTGCAGAAGAGGAGAAGAGAAAAGGGAAAGAAAGAGGAAAGAGCAAGAAACAGAGAGAAGAGGAAAAGAGAGAAACAGAAGAGGAAGAAGAGAGAGGGAGAAGGAGCATGAAGTAAGACAGAGAACGGAAGAAAGGAGAAGACAAAAAAGGAAAACAATGCGACGAGAAAAACACCGAAAGCAAAGAATGAGAAAGTTGTGTCCTGAAGAATCAGAGGCAAAGTGATTCGATTTCAAAGATTCTCCTGAGATTTTGCTCTTCAGAATCCTCTTTTTGCAAAGAGACAAGAGGAAAAGAGAGAAGAAGAGAGAAAAGGAAGGAGAAAAAGAGGAAAATATAAGACAGAGACGGGGAAAGAGAGACGAGATCGAGTTCGCACAGATTGAATTCAATTGGAAGTTCTTGCTCAGGAACTGCATTAGAGGCAAAGCCTCCTATCAGGTTGCGAAGCCATTTTATCCCTTTTGTGCACTTCTTGACGCGCATCAAGTTTGCCAGGCACCAGAGCTCCATTCAGATCAGGAGTACGATGCATATCTCACCGACGCATTCTCCTTAGGCCGGCATGCCGTTCCTTCACGCACGGGCTGACGGGCTGACGGGCTGGCCAGGTGTCACGCTCTATGCTGTACTTCTGAAGGAGATTCGAAGTCGCCTTTGAAAACTTCCGTTGGATCCTGGCAAAAGCACTGCGGATTTGGCGCGGACTCAAGAAATGAAGATACCAACTGAGAGTCCCTTCTCGTAATTGAGAAATCGAAGCATGTGATCTCAAACAATATGTTTGAGCAGCGTTTGCTCAATTTGCTCGATTTTTTCATTTGTTTCTCCGACGCATTGCAACGTCTACCAGACACATGCAATGCCCCTCTCATGCTGCTCTGTTTGACAGAGCGAGGCGGCCCTATTGAAGGTGTTATACAAAGTGTTGCCTGGCAAAGGCTAGTTTTGCTTCCAAATCGCTGTGTGCGCATTAGCGCGAATTGCGCATCACTGTTCCAAACGATCCAACGGCTGGATTTTGTGCGAATTCGGCCAGACAGCTGTAATTTGTTTGTGTGCTTGAAGTGACATGCTGTATTTTCAGAGTTTGCCAAACGTTGCCAAATCTTTGGTTGCCACTTTGCGCCGTATGGCTCTGGCTATCTCTGGCTTTGGACTAGGACTATCCCTGGCTCTCCACGCGGCCTGGGGGCTGCAAGTGCTTCGAGTATGTTCGGAAGCACGGCTTCCGTGCGTGCGCCCGTAGAGCCGGAAGTGCAAATGATGCATCGAGTTTCTGCGACCTGAGTTCGTGAGTTCAGGTATCTGGCAAAGCGCAAGCTCAGGAACAGTACGCAAAGAGCGCGCTCCTCAGTGCGAGCGCGATGTGCACTCTTCCAGCGTCTCGAACCGTCTCCGAGAGGTCGTAGAGTTTATGTCGGAGCCGCTGATTTGCCTTCTGGAAGGCAAGTGGATTTAGACTCGTCTCTCACTTCCTGTCTCGTGTGCGTCCCGTGCGTCCCGTGCGTCCCGTGCGTCCCGTGCGTCCCGTGCGTCCCGTGCGTCCCGTGCGTCCCGTGCGTCCCGTGCAGGTTTGCTGTCCTTTGAGCCCAGTGAACGGCCGGACACCCGGACACCTTCCAGCGCATCGCGTGTCGCCATAGCGGCCTGTCGCGCGTCAGGCTCACCCTGGGCGAGCGAAAGTGGAGCAATAGAAGGCGAGCCTGCCCACCAGAAGCCCACATCCCATCCGACTCATCCGACTCATCCGACTCATCCGACTCCTCCGACTCATCCGACTCATCCGACTCACCCGACTCATCCGACTCATCCGACTCACCCGACTCATCCGACTCACCCGACTCCCCCGACTCACCCGACTCACCCGACTTATCCGACTCATCCGACTCATCCGACTCATCCGACTCATCCGACTCACCCGACTCACCCGACTCACCCGACTCATCCGACTCATCCGACTCATCCGACTCATCCGACTCATCCGACTCATCCGACTCATCCGACTCACCCGACTCACCCGACTCACCCGACTCACCCGACTCATCCGACTCACCCGACTCACCCGACTCACCCGACTCACCCGACTCATCCGACTCATCCGACTCATCCGACTCATCCGACTCATCCGACTCACCCGACTCACCCGACTCACCCGACTCACCCGACTCCGACTCATCCGACTCATCCGACTCATCCGACTCATCCGACTCATCCGACATCACCCGACTCACTCCGACTCACATCCGACTCATCCGACTCATCCGACTCATCCGACTCATCCGACTCATCCGACTCATCCGACTCATCCGACTCATCCGACTCATCCGACTCACTCCGACTCATCCGACTCATCCGACTCATCCGACTCATCCGACTCATCCGACTCATCCGACTCATCCGACTCCGACCCGACTCACCCGACTCACCCGACTCATCCGACTCATCCGACTCATCCGACTCATCCGACTCATCCGACTCACCCGACTCCGACTCATCCGACTCATCCGACTCATCCGACTCATCCGACTCATCCGACTCATCCGACTCACCCGACTCACCCGACTCATCCGACTCATCCGACTCATCCGACTCATCCGACTCATCCGACTCACTCGACTCATCCGACTCACCCGACTCACCCGACTCACCCGACTCATCCGACTCATCCGACTCATCCGACTCATCCGACTCATCCGACTCATCCGACTCACCCGACTCACCCGACTCACCCGACTCATCCGACTCATCCGACTCCGACTCATCCGACTCATCCGACTCATCCGACTCATCCGACTCATCCGACTCACCCGACTCACCCGACTCACCCGACTCACCCGACTCATCCGACTCACCCGACTCACCCGACTCACCCGACTCACCCGACTCATCCGACTCATCCGACTCATCCGACTCATCCGACTCATCCGACTCACCCGACTCACCCGACTCACCCGACTCATCCGACTCATCCGACTCATCCGACTCATCCGACTCATCCGACTCATCCGACTCCGACTCATCCGACTCATCCGATCCGACTCATCCGACTCATCCGACTCATCCGACTCATCCGACTCATCCGACTCATCCGACTCATCCGACTCATCCGACTCATGCGACTCATCCGACTCATCCGACTCAACTCACCCGACTCACCCGACTCATCCGACTCACCCGACTCACCCGACTCACCCGACTCATCCGACTCATCCGACTCATCCGACTCATCCGACTCATCCGACTCATCACGTCATGATCATCCGACTTATCCGACTCGCATCCGACTCATCCGACTCATCCGACTCACCCGACTCACCCGACTCACCCGACTCACCCGAACCCGACTCACCCGACTCATCCGACTCATCCGACTCATCCGACTCATCCGACTCATCCGACTCATCCGACTCTCCGACTCATCTGACTCATTCGACTCACTCATCCGACTCCGACCCGACTTATCCGACTCATCCGACTCATCCGACTTACCCGCTCATCCGACTCATCCGACTCATCCGACTCATCCGACTCATCCGACTCATCCGACTCATTCGACTCATCGGACTCATCCAAAATCAGACTCATCCGACTCATCCGACTGACTCATCCGACTCATCCGACTCATCCGACTCATCCGACTCATCCGACTCATCCGACTCACCCGACTCACCCGACTCATCCGACTCATCCGACTCATCCGACTCATCCGACTCATCCGACTCACCCGACTCACCCGACTCATCCGACTCATCCGACTCATCCGACTCATCCGACTCATCCGACTCACCCGACTCACCCGACTCATCCGACTCATCCGACTCATCCGACTCATCCGACTCATCCGACTCACCCGACTCACCCGACTCATCCGACTCATCCGACTCATCCGACTCATCCGACTCATCCGACTCACCCGACTCACCCGACTCATCCGACTCATCCGACTCATCCGACTCATCCGACTCATCCGACTCACCCGACTCACCCGACTCATCCGACTCATCCGACTCATCCGACTCATCCGACTCATCCGACTCACCCGACTCACCCGACTCATCCGACTCATCCGACTCATCCGACTCATCGGACTTCATCCGAGTTATACGACTCATCCGACTCATCCGACTCATCCGACTCGTCCGACTCACCTGACTCACCCGACTCACCCGACTCACTCGACTCACTCGACTCACCCGACTCGCTGGCAGGTCGATTTGGGACTTGACGTGGCTGCACGAAGGTGGGGTTGGGCTTTCCGCTTTCGGCTTTCGGCGATTGAGAGGCTCGAGCGCCGAGGTCCTGGCAAGTAGCGCGGCTTCGCGGCCTCGCTCTCGCATATCGGGCTCCGATCTGCGATGCGAAATGCGTGTCCGCGTGACTCCGCACGTTTCACAACGGACCCATTGTTCCACGGGGTCAGGCATCCCTCAAGGCTCACATAGATTGGACTTTTGCTTTCAATGAAACTGCTCATGGACTCCGAGCGCGGCGAGTTCAAGTCTAGAGACGAAACTCTGTCACTCTGACAGTCTTTTTTTTAACGCTCTCGTGGGGCTGAAATCAGCTCCCACTTCGTTTGAATGCTCGGAGACAGTGCCGCATTGGGATTGCAAATTAACGGCAGCTGTAGGCAGTTCCTGGTCGGCAAGCCAGGAAGCGCACTCTGCCTCAGAGTTCACACTCGGAAAAGAAAATGTCGGTGAGCTTGACGTCGGAATCTTGGCAGTGGATTGACGATCGTCGGGATCGTCGGGATCCGCATCAAATCGTTGGGATGATCAGAATCGAGCGCTTTGGCTGTTAGTAGTCTGGAGCAATATGGCCAGTCGCTGATGGCAGCTGCCTCAGAGACGGATCGTTGATGCTGGGCTCGTTCTGGGTTGAACTCAAGCAGCTTTAGATCCGAGCAAGGCGCCCAAGAGTTTCCAAGAGAGACGTGGACAAGAAATGCCAAGGACAATCGCACAACCCCTCAGCGACTTTTTAGCATAGAATTCCACTGCACCAGCCCAGCAGCACTGATTTAGTCATGCGAGAGACAGACTGGAATCTCATGGAGAAGCTGTGCATATTCAAGACTGTCCGCTTTGCAGTGTACGACATGTGATAGGGATGTGGTGCCGCATGTGATGGCATACCAACTGGTGACAGCGTGCCCCATTGACTCAGTGTGCGTGACACTGAGTGCACGACACCTCAGCGCACACCAACGTGACACGCCTTGACACGGGACACCCTGGCGTGACACTACTCGCATGACCCTCGTGCACAGCAAAGCTTGACCCCGTGACACGAAGTGACGACCTGCGCTGTGTGACACTGACAAGCCATGGATGGGAAACATGAAGACAGCGTACAAGAAGGTGTTCCAAGCACCAACTGATCGTTTTCCGGTAGCTCTGTTTCCCGGCATGGGTCATTGAATAGGCGCTCGAATGCGCCGCACCTTGCCCACACAAAAACTCCAAGAGTTACCGGCAAAATATATGTAAGCGTCGGACAGCTGTGACCGCGACACGTGCGACAAGCGTGACCGCACCATGGTGGGATGCGATGGGCTTTTTCTGGCGCAGAAAACGGGATGCAGCGCGTAGCACAAAGTTGCATCCGCAGCAAGCGGTTTCCCGAGGAAGGAGCCTGCCGGTTGCAGGCAGGGAGTGCGCTTTTGACCCAGTGCTTTTTCTCTGGACAGGAGCATGCGAATCTTGCGCAGGTTTTGGGCACCGAAAGCTTGGCCATTGCAGGGGCCTCGCTGAGGTATGCGTGGGAGAGGGCGGGGAGAGGGCGGGGAGAGGGAGAGGAGAGGAAGAGGTTCTGGCCGCAAGATTAGCAATGGGTTTGGGTCTCAAGCTCGCTGGTCTTGACGTGTCCCAGAACCCACGTTGACCTTCGCGGGCACCTGGACTGCGTACGGGAAGTAGTCGCTCTTTCCGCATAGTGGCTTTGGGAAAATCTTTGTCCGGGCCCGGGCAGCGAATCACGCACAAGCGGAACCTTGAGGCTGAGTCCTCATTCACCTTACACTCCTCTCCCTCTCTCCCTCTCCTCTCCCCCTCTCCCTCTCCTCTCCTCTCCTCTCCCTCTCCTCTCCCTCTCCTCTCCCTCTCCTCTCCCTCTCCTCTCTCCTCTCCCTCTCCCTCTCTCCTCTCCCTCTCCTCTCCTCTCCTCTCCCTCTCCTCTCCCTCTCCTCTCCCTCTCCTCTCCCTCTCCTCTCCCTCTCCTCTCCCTCTCCTCTCCCTCTCCTCTCCCTCTCCTCTCCCTCTCCTCTCCCTCTCCTCTCCCTCTCCTCTCCCTCTCCTCTCCCTCTCCTCTCACTCTCCTCTCCCTCTCCTCTCCCTCTCCTCTCCCTCTCCTCTCCCTCTCCTCTCCCTCTCCTCTCCCTCTCCTCTCCCTCTCCTCTCCCTCTCCTCTCCCTCTCCTCTCTCTCCTCTCCCTCTCCTCTCCCTCTCCTCTCCCTCTCCTCTCTCTGGCCGTGGACGGCCAGGGCGCGCGGATGTATCTTGGACGGGCTTGGGCGTCACATGTGGTAGTCGGGATCTGGGTTTTTGATTACTGCGGGCAACAAACATGAAAGCCGGCGAAAAGGGCGCCGAGAACAAGACCCCGCGGCCGAGCCAAGAGTGTGTTTCGGTGTTTCATTGATGGTGAAGGATTTCAGGGCAGCGGAGGAGCCGTTGCGATCGTCGGCGTCACCAGGGACGGGCTGAGATGAACGCGATGCCAAGATCGTGAGATCTTTTCCTGAGCTAACCGCGCTCGTCCATGCTTTCCCAGGCCACCGGGCCGATGTGGCGCTTGAAACGGCGCGAACAGTTGTAGACCCCGACAGAGATGCCTTGAGACGCGTTTGCGCAAGTGGCTGCGCAGCCTGGCCTGCCCTACCGCACAGAGCGAAGCAAAGAAGCGAGACATAAAAGCGCTTCACGTTTCTCGAACAGAACAAACTGACTACCAGCTTTCGTCGCAGTAGCAGCAGAAAGCTTCTAATTCTCAACACCATGGAAGATTAGGCGCCTCAAAGCTGTTACCGGGAAACTGTCGAAGCCTTTTTAGGCAACCTCGTGCGCAGCAGCGCGTCGCCTAACGCGCTGTCCGTGGCGCAGCTTCGTCGCGGACACGCCTTGCGAGCGGCGAGCGGCGGAGTTGCCGGCGCGCCCGAGCATATCCGTTGAGCCACCTGCGCTTCTTGCTCTTTGCTCAACAAGCGATATGTCCTTTGAAATTATAGGGTCTCACAAGCAGTTCTGCTTCCTAGTGTGCAGGTTGGCAAGCGCGGAGAAGCTCGGCTGGCCGGACTTGCGGCTCTGCTGATGCGCCTCCCAGCACTCACGCAAGACAGAAAAGTGAATGCGACCTCAGCGCGTATGGGACTTTTCCAACGCATCTCTTGTAGTTCAAGGCTTGCTCACAGATCTGGTTGAAAAGACCAGGACCTGTGCCGGCGTGGGGCTGTGTTCTCTTGCGCTCATCATTGGCGTGACGTGGCCAATCTCCGCGTGCTAGACAACGCTGCTCAAATTCGTCTTTGTGGGAGACGCGCGGAAAGCATCCTCGTTAAGCCGCGTGACTGCTCGCCCTGCAACATGATTGGAGTAGACGAGTGGCCGCTTCCGGGCGGAGAGGACGGGGTGAGGGTAGGGGAAAGAGAGGAGAATGAGACGAGCGTCAGACTAGGTCACGCTGCCGAGCCACGGCGGAGAGGCGCGAGCTTCGTGTTGAGATGGGGGCCCGGTTTGGTTCCGTTTTTGCTCTTTTCTTGCTGCCTTTGCGCCCTCCCTTTGTTTTTGCCAAGTGGCTACCTCGCCGCCCTGAGCTGTTGTCCATTTTTGGGTCTGCTGGCGTTGCCGAGGCGCCGTTGGTGTGACTTGTTCGCTGCTGGTGCAAATGATGACAAAAAGGCAGGCTCACGGGCATCTGCGTAGCTGAAGCCATGCTTGCGCAAATTGCAAAATTCACTGTGACGCACATCCACAGCCACTGCGCCCATGCCGGCGCAAGTGCTAGAAAGCACGCTCGCGCCCACCAACAACCACTGCTCCCATGCTGGCACATATGCTTGACTTGCTCATGCTCTTGCCCATCCTTCTCGTGTCTTTCTTGTTTCCGCTTAGCGATTGTTTTGACTGCTGTGTCTGTTTTGTCTCCTGTAAGTTCTTTTTCGGGATGAGCATCAAGAAACACGTATTTAGGGGGTCGACGAAAATAGTACCCTGGTTACCCTGGTCTCCTACTCCCCTAGTCTCCTGGTCTCCTATCCCTGGTGTCTCCGAAGCCACGCCCGCCTCGCTTCATCCAGCCTCAAACCAACCCTAAACCAGCCCAAAACCAGCCCTAGGCCACCCCCAAACCAACCTGGGCCCACCCTCTTCAACCCCAAGCCCAAAGCATCCCTAACAAACCCCTAAACTCACCCTAAACCAACCCTAAACAGACCCTAAACCAAACCTGCACCCACCATAAACCTGCCCTACCTTAACCAACCTTAGCCAAAACACTAAAGCGGCCCTAAACCCAGCCTAAGCCCGCCCACCCTAAAACTACCCTAAACAGCCCCTAAACAGCCCCTAAACCACACCTACACCCGCCAAAACCAGTCCTAAGCCAACCCTAAACCGACCCCAAGCCAACCCTAAACCAATCCTAAGCCCGTTATCTTCGTGTACTGCGCTTGTACTGAAAAGTGCCTATTTTGGAGCTGGAGGTGAAATGTGCGCGCTGTTGCCTGAAGATTATGTAAATTACAGCGTTTTTGCACCCCGGGCGAATAATTTATTTTGATCCCGTAATTTTTTTTTGCTGATCCGGCACCCTTCCTTTTCGTTCACCTACCCATCATTGTTCTCTTGCCGGCTCTGTTTGGCCCACTTCCTTTGTTTTTCCTTCTTGCCCTTCCTGCCTTTCGTTTTCTTTTTTTAATAACACACTTCCCCTCAGCTGACAGCCACGCGTGAGCAGTTGGTGGTTGTGGAAGGTTGTGAGAGTTGACGGAAGATGGCGGGCTCCGAGAGAGATGCGGAGCGATGGCATGGAGGGCTTGCGTTGTGTCTGCTGCTTGTTGCTTGCTGCGAGTTGTCTTTTTTCGCGGCGGTTGCTTGATTTTTCTTCTTGCTTCTCGTTATGTGATTTGCTGTCCGCTTCCTGTGCCCTTTGGGTCGTGTTATGTTGTGTTTTGTATTTTTATGTTTGTTGCTTTGAGTTCACAGAGTGGCGTTGCCCGAGGTTCCCAGAAGGTTTTTGCACGAGAGGAGCGGTTGCAGGTTCCGAAGGTTCCGAGTTGAAGGTTTGGACCGCGGTTCCATGGACCGGTCCTGTTCCGTGCTTACGTGTTTTCAGGCCTACATCGTACACATGTTTTGTGTCCTTCTTTGGTTGTGCTTCCGTGTTTCTTGTGCTGTTACGTACTTTTAGTATATCCTTTCTGAGGCCTTGGACTGGTTGGCCACTGCCTTGCCCGCGGCTGGCAATGCTGGCGGCGCCAAAGGAGGTCCTGCACTTAGAGAAGCTGTCCATAGCGGCGCTGTTTCGGGCAAGTTTTGCGCCGGAGTTTCACTCTTTTTTTTCCCGTGCGTGGAGTGATGGTCCAGGTAGATTCCCTACCTCGACCAATGCAAATGCTTCCACTTCAGCCCACCTCGATGTTTGTACATTGTCTCGCTTTGCGTGGGTGTTTCTGTTTTCTTCGTGTTTTGACCTGATGTCTTCAACGTCTTCGTGTTTGGGCTGAACGGAAGCCTTGTTCTTCGAGTGCTCAACGTGGTCCGGAGAGCTCCGGATAGTTTTGGAGGGGTTTGCATTGGGAGTTTCAAGTTTAGGCCTAGCCGCCCTGGGGTGCTGGGGCGAGTCCACCGCAGTGGTGGTGCCCGCGCTGGCCCCGGGCCTCGTTGGAAGTGCAACGGTTCAGTTTTGAAGGCTCAACGTGTTGAAATGCGGCCAAGGAGTCCGCGATACGTGCAGTGGCCCCTCCCGCCAAGTCCTCCATCGTCGGGGCCCTCAGCTCACTTCAAAGCGACCCAAGTCCCACAAGTTTGTGCTCGTAACCGGCACAGCTTGCAAGTTCAAGGACAAACCTTGGGCTGCCCTTGAAGTGGTGGCAAAGCCAAGCGCTCAGTTGAGTGAGCGCAGCTGGTTTAACTGGCGTGTTGCGAAAGCCGAACAAGATCGGGAAGGGATGCGAGCGCGAATTTGGGAAACGGATTTGATGGGAGGGGACACGGATTGCTAGTTTGGGACGGCCCAAGGCGAATTGGATAGAATTGGAATTTGGGAGGGATTGGAACGGTCAGACGTTAGTTGAGTGGATGGAACTCTCGAAGGAGCGCCGTGGCACTGGCTACCTTGGGGCCCATTCTGGCATCGGCGGCCGTCCGTTGGTGCCTGACCTCGGTTTCAGAGAAAGAATCACGGGTTTTCGACTACTACGCATATTGGTCCCAAACCTCATCATGACTCCTTCACATCTCCGCAAATACTTTCGCTGACAGGACTAGGCACCTCAGTTTGATTTGGGGATGATGTTATCATCATCGTCCAAGGTGCTGGTACACGTGCTGTGTATCAAATTTATCTTCAACATCATCTCGTTTTTCTTTGTCACGAAGTGCTGCACATCTTCTAAACCAGCACAAAGGGAAACCCACACACACACACACACCGAGCTATGCTCAGCACATGTGAGCACAGCCTACGATTGCTGTAAAGTAAAGAGCCCAGTCTTGCATGCGAAGCATGCAAAGATGGGCAATATCCTACACGAACACACATTCAACATCAAATCAACTGCAGATCATCATCTGCCAAGGAGAAAAACAAGCTGACGTTTGTTTCGTGGGTTTTGAACCTCTTTTCTTTTCATTTCTTCTCTTTTGTTTATTGATTTCTCTTGTATTCTCCACTCTTCCCTTTTCTTCTCTTTTCTTATTTTTTTGTGTGCTCGCTTCGTTTTTTTTGTTTTTGTTTTGTTTTTAAATGTATGTTTTTATTATTTTATTCTTGTCTTTTCGATTCTTCTCTTTTCTTTTATAATCTTTTGTTTTCTTCTCTTTTCTTCTGTTGCCTTTTTCCGTTTCTCTTTTCTTCTCTTTTCTTCTCGTGTCTTATCTTGTCTTATCTTGTGTTCTCTCGTCTCTTCTGTTCTTTTCTTCTCTGGTCTTTTCTTTTCATTGTTACTTGTTCTTCACTTGTTTTCTTCTCTGTCCTTCTCTGTTCTTTTCTTTTCTTCTCTTTGCTCTCTTCTTCTTTCATCTATTCTTTCTTTTCCTTTTCTTCTCTCTTCTTTTCTTGTCTTCCTTTTCTTTTGTGGTCTAATATTCAGGTTTTCTATTCGCCTCTTCTTTTTCTCTTTCTTTTCTTGTGTTGTGTTTTCTTCTCTTTGCTTCTCTTGTCTTCTCTTTGGCTTGTTTTGCGTTTCTTCTCATTTCTTTTGTTGCTTCTCTTTGCTTCTTTTGTTTTCCTTTCCTTCTCTTTTCTTTTATGTTCCAATCTTTTCTTCTCCTTTGTTCTCTTTTACCATCTTCGTTTTTCATGGCTTGTCGTCTCTTTTCTTTGCTTTTCTTGTCTTCTCTTGTTTCTCTGTTTTTTTTGGTTTTGTCTGCTTTTCTTCTTTTCTTTCCTCTCCTTCTCTTGTCTTCTCTTTTCTCCTTTTTTCCCCAAACAGCGAAGCATTGGGGTTCTAACTTGAGGTATAGAGAATAGGAAAGTGTGACGCCGATTCCGGGGTCCTGTTTTCCGCTTGTCTTCCTGTCTCCCAGTGCGTGTCTCCCGCTGTGTCTGGATGCCAGATGCTGTGACGCTGGCTCCGGGTCGTGTCTCCCGCTTGTCTCCCTGTGTCTCCCTGTCTCTGCGGTCAGATGCCAGATGCTGTGACGCTGGCTCCGGGTCGTGTCTCCCGCTTGTCTCCCTGTGTCTCCCTGTCTCTGCGGTCAGATGCCAGATGCTGTGACGCTGTCTCCGGGTCGTGTCTCCCGCTTCTGACACTGGCTGTGTCTCCCGCTTGTCTCCCTGTGTCTCCCATCTCCCGTTTTTTGTGACGCTGGCTCGGGGTCGTGTCTCCCGCTTGTCTCCTAGTCTCTGCGGTCTGTGACGCTGGCTTCGAAATCGTGTCTCCTCCTTGTTTCCCTGTGTCTCCCAGTCTCTGCGGTCGGATGCTAGATGCTGTGACGCCGGCTCCGTCCCGCTTGTCTCCCCGTGTCTCCAGTCTCTGCGGTCAGATGCCAGATGCTGTGACGCTGGCTCCGGGTCGTGTCTCCCGCTTGTCTCCCTGTGTCTCCCTGTCTCCGCGGTCAGATGCCAGATGCTGTGACGCTGGCTCCGGGTCGTGTCTCCCGCTTGTTTTCCTGTTTCTCCCTGTCTCTGCGGTCAGGCGCCAGATGCTGCTCCGGGGTTGTGTCTCCCGCTTGTCCTTCTGTCTCTCCCATCTCCGTTTTTTGTGATGTGGCTCGGGGTCGTGTCTCCCAGTCTCTGCGGTCGGATGCTGTGACGCTGGCTCCGAGGTTGTGTCTCCCGCTTGTCTCCCTGCATCTGGATGCCAGATGCTGTGACGCTGGCTCTGCGGTGACGCCAGCTGCGTGTCTCCCGAAACGTGTTTCCCGCTTGTCTCCCTGTGTCTCTCAGTCTCTGCGGTCAAATGCCAGATGCTGTGACGCTGGTGTCTCCCGCTCGTCTTTCTGTGTCTCCCGCTTGTCCCTCTGCGGTCGGATGCCGGATGCTGAGACGCTCCCGCTTGTCTCCCTGTGTCTGGATGCCAGATGCTGGGTTGTGTCTCCCAGTTTTTGCGGACGCTGTGATGCTGGCTCCGGGGTTATATCTTCCGGCTGTCTTCCCCAGTCTCTGCGGTCAGCTGTGACTTGTCTCCCTGTGTCTCCCAGTCTCTGCCCCCTGTTTCTCCCAGTCTCTGCGCTCGTTGCTGTGAGCTGGCTGCTTTCCTGCTTACAGCCCTCAACAGGAAAAATGAAGTTCCTGCACATCTTCTTACCCAGTTTTGAGGCTGACCTGGCTTGCTTGGCATCCAGTAACCGGCGTTCGGCTCCCTTCGGCTCCCTTCTGCTCACGTGGCAGCAGCTCGCAAGCGCAATTGAGAAGCATCAAGCTAGAAACATAGATTCGACAAGTCAGCAGGAACCACTTGCAACAATGTGAAAGGGCATGTGGCAGATTTTGCTGCTAACCTGCGTGCAAAGGATGTGCCTCTCTCTTGGCCAAGCGCAGGTTTGCATCCTGGTGAAACATCGTTGGAGCTAGAAACAAGCAATGTCGAGCCTTAATTTTTTGTCGTTAAACAAACAAATCGTGACATCCGGCTGATTGCTTTGCTCAGGAAACTGAGCCGCTGTTTAGAAGCCAGTGCCGCACTTCTTGGTCAAGTTTGCATCCTTGTGGCGCACCAGCAGGGCCCTGTCGAGCCTTTCTATGTTTCTCTCGATAAAAACCGTTCTTCAAGTGTTCTGTGTTTGGCTTGTCTGCGCTTTTGTTTCTCTTCACCAGTCTTCTTTGTTCTTCTCTTTTCTTGTCTTATCTTGTCGTCTTTGTTCTTCTCTGTTCTTCGATCCTTTTTCGAGCTTGTCTTCGCCTTTGTCTTTTCTTTCCCGATCTTCTTTTTGTCTTATCTTGTCTTCGTCTTTTCCTTTTTCTTCTCCAATTTCTTCTTTTCTTTCTTAGCTTGCCATCTCTGTTCTTCTCTGTTCTGCTTGCTCACGGTCCCAGGGAAACGATTTGTTATCTCGCTCGGAAACCATTCCTGTTTTCTGTGTGTGCCTGGCGTCACGTGCGCATCCCCACGGGTTAGGTGTCTGTCGGCATAGGACGCCGCCTTAACTAACGCAGAGCCGGCGAAGCCGGTTGCCGGAAGGTTTGAAACCGTAACAACTATAGTTTTGCTCTTTCTTCTTCTCTTCTTATGTCTTTCCCTCTTTCTTTGCTTGTCGCTTCTTCGCTTTCCATATTTTTCAATTTTTTTGTCTCTTTGCTCTTTCTTGTTTACTTTCTTTCTTTCGCGCGTTCTTTCGATTTGCCCTTTCTTTTTTTACATTTTGCATTTCTTTCTATGCGTCTATCTAACTATGTATCCAGCAAATTTCTTTCTCTCTGTCTCTCTCTCTCTCTCTCTCTCTCTCTCTCTCTCTCTCTCTCTCTCTCTCTCTCTCTCTCTCTCTCTCTCTCTCTCTCTCTCTCTCTCTCTCTCTCTCTCTCTCTCTTCTGTCCATCTATAGATCGTTCTATGTGTTTATCCATCTAACTACCTACCCATCAACTCCTTACTTCTCCATTTCCCAGCTACCCGCCACCTGCTCAACATTTGTGTGTATCTTCATTTAGCCACGCATCTCCCCATCTACCTGTCTTTCTACCTCAATGTCTCTCTCTATCTCTATCTATGTACCTGTCTGTCTGTCTATCTACCTAGCTGTCCTTCTATCTATGTCTTTCTCTGCCTAACTATCTGTCAATTTGTTCTCAGCGTTAGCAATCTGGCCATCAATCTTGCTCTTTCTATCTACTTGTCTATCTCTCTGTCTCTCTGTTTCTTTGTCAACCTTATTTCTTCTATCTCTCTATCACTTTACCTCTTTCTATTTATCTCCCCATCTACCATACTTCTATATACCTGCATCTGTTCTTTCTCAAGCAATCTATCCTCATTTAGCTTGCTATCTCAATCACTGCATCTATCTATTTATCTATCCATCAATCCATTTCTGTCTCTGCCGAGACATCTGTCCGTGTGTCTTGCTATCTATCCATCCGGCTATCTTTCTATCTGTCGCTACCTTCTCTCTATCTCTGTTTTTCTCTGTCTGCATATCTATCTGTCGACCTGCCTATCCATCTATCTGTTTCTTTGTCTATCTATCTATCTATCTATCTATCTGTCTCTATATATCCTTCCTTCTCTGTCTGCCTACTCATCCGTTTCTCTCTTCATTAAGCTACCTACCCTTCCATCTATGTGCGTACCAATCTATCAATCAACCCCTCTCCTGCCTGGAACGAAAATCCTAATGGCACGGCAACGAGAACACACAGCCTTCCAAAACACTGCGCCTGCGAAGCGAAATAACACGCAACGCTGCAAACGCTCGCGGACGCTTTCGGACGCTTGCAGACGCTTGCGGACGCTTTCGGCCACACGCGAGCCGACCAGCAAACACAACCTTATCCCCAGCCCCCACTTAATAACGGGAACCCTTCGCTACGCATTCGGGAAAAAAGAAGACAAACGAAGGAGAGAAAAGAAAAGAGAAACAAGTCAGAAGAAAGGGCAAGAAAACAGGAAAAAAGAGAAGACAAGAAAGCAAAAGAAAACAAAGCGAAAGAGAAATTACACCAGCCTCGGCCCCAAACAGCAAAAAAGCACGACCGGTCTGTATAGCCCAAA